CAAAATTATACATTTTTCTTTTATGCCAAAAATCTTTAGGATATTAAGTAAAGATCATGTTCCATGAAGATATTTTGTAAATTTCTGACCGTAAATATATCAAAACTTAGTTTTTGATTAGTAATATGCATTGCTAAGAACTTCATTTGGACAATTTTAAAGGCGATTTTCTCAGTATTTAGATTTTTTTTTTTTTGCACCCTCAGATTCCAGATTTTCAAATAGTTGTATCTCGGCCAAATATTGTCCTTTCCTAACAAACCATACATAAATGGAACACTTATTTATTCAGCTTTCATATGATGTATAAATCTCCATTTAAAAAATGGACCCTTATGACTGGTTTTGTGGTCTAGGGTCACATATTTAATATTTTTAGTGTGAATTGCCCATAAACACATTATCATGCGCACAATTATGGGCTATTTCCAAAAAATCTGATTATATGAATAATATTTGAAATGCCATCTGCAGTAATTTACATCTATTTCTATTTTGCAGAAACGGTGTTTATTATGAAAAGCATGCAGACTCTTTCAGCAAAAGCATGCATTGTGTGCATCTGTGAGAGATGGGAACCAGAATTATTCCCATGCTGACCCAGCTGTTTGCTCTCTGCTTCTCTGCAGCACGGCAGTAACCTGATCGGGATGACTGACCTGAACGTGCCTGAGCAGCTCTATCAGTATATGGTGGGAGGTCATCGGCGCATGCATGCTGGCATCAACAGAGAGAAACACAAGTCTCCCAGCTATCAGATCAAGGTGGAGTCATTACATAACCATCAAAGAGCATGTATTCATCTAGAGATTTTTTGTGCTGAGAATAATGCCACACCACTCATGTGGTCGTGTTTGACAGTTTAAATTATTGTGTGAGAAAGCAAGGGTTGTTCAGAACCACAATACTGATATGCTGTCTGCTGCATACTATTTATCTCGTGCAGTGAACAGTATATAACAATGAATAAAAGTATGGTGAATTGTCAAATGTCCCAGTTCTCTCTCTCTCTCTCGTTGTCACATGAAAAGATATAATAAAATATTTACAAAAATGTGAGGGGTGTACTCACTTCTGTGAGATACTGTATATAGATATACACACACACACACACACACACATGCATTTGAATTTAATTTAAATTGAGTTAACGAACAAATGCAGAATAGTAATTTGAATTTGAGAAGTAAAATTAAAATCGAATGAGAGTTGAATAAATTTATACAGCATAACTGATCTAAGTGCAGTTTTAGATGGTATGCATAATGTTTGAAATGCCATCTACAGAAATGTGTATTTATTTTAATTTTAATAAATTAGTATGGTAGTATACTGAACTTACCCTTACACTGCATTATCTAACCCATGCACTGAAAGTTCTCTCCTCCACATCACGAGTAGACACGCCCCTTATTGCTGATTGGCTACAAGTTTGTTTTGCGATTCGGCCCAAATCAGTTTTCTAAAGTGTTTTTGAAAAATCACATACCCTGCCTTTAAAATTTTTTTAATGTAACTATTTTTATTAGGAGGGTGACACTATCAATGTGGACGTGACCTGTCCTGGTGCAACACTTGCCCTCGCCATGATTTACCTGAAAACAAATAATAGGTGAGTTTTGTTTCTTCATTCACCTACTTGCCAAGACAATATCACTCATTTTTTAAAATGTTTTTAATCTTTCAGTATATTTAAATAGTATTTTATTTCAGCTTTGTCAGTTGCTGAAAATAATTTTTAATAGTTTTATTTATGATGATTTTACGGCTTTACTGCCCCTTCTGCTCACTTTTGTCTTTAATTGTTGAGCAAACCGTTTGCCTCAAATGTGCAACTTTGGTTGATGTAGAAATTGACAGGCTTCTCAAACAAACAGAGAAATATTTTGAAAGAGTGTTACGCTCTCCGGAAAGTCAACTTACAAATTAGATATAGTTGTCTGTGTGCAATAATCCAGGATAAGAGAGAATTTCCCAATAATCACACTCTTGACCTTTAAAGTAAAATCCATTATTCATTGTGAATCATGAAAGTCTCTTTCTGTGTAAAAAAGGCCGACATCTTCCTCATCTTCAGCTCTTATGTTCAGTGCAAAGCCTTTTTCGGTTCTGTCTGCTCTCTCACATTCACACCTGTCTCTCTGGTCCCCTCCAGGTCTATAGCTGATTGGTTGAAAGCCCCGGACACCATGTTCCTGCTGGACTTCATCAAGCCTGAGTTTTTGCTGCTGAGGGTGAGAGAGCGATACAGGGCTGACAGCCATCAGAAGTTCATTCGGGCCTCTGGGCTCGCAGGGATTTACACATTAACGCCTCACATTGGCTTCAGTCACACTTTTTTTTACCAAGTGTTCTCATGTTTTACGATGGCTTTTCAGGCAACATATGGGGTCATTTTAGCCTGTTGTGCTGGTTAACCAACAGGAAGGTCACTTCCTTCTCAGATTCTTCTCTGGCCTTCTCTGACTGTGGAACCTTTCCAAATCCTAGAGTGCTGCCTTCGTAGACTGCGTGTTAAGACTATTCGGAAAAGTGGTATTTTATGCTGCCTTTAAAGATATATTTGTGTCCAAATTCAATAGAAGTACTGCATATCCACCTTATTTTGCAATGTGGAAATAAGCTATTTTCTCTGAATTTGTGAGAATTTCATTAGCTGCTATTGGTAAATAACTAGCAGAATAACAAAGTGCAGTAAACAGTAAAACTATTTGCGCTACAAACCAGTGTGTTTAGGATTATGATAATGAATTAAAATAATATCATCACACCAGTTTGAAATATCAAGCAGCATAACAGACTGTTTGTACAGGTAACAAGTCCAAGATGGTTGTTTACAAATGTAATTTATTCAGTAATAAAAAGTATCAATATGAATACTTCATTCTAATTACAAATAAATTATTTTAGCCAGTATTCTGTATGTAAAAAAAAAATCCTGCCATGAGCTTAACAACACGCTTTTACCACACTCGTAAATGTTTTTTGTTTTATTTTTGCATTGAAAAGTAGATAATGATTTTTTAAAATGTAAATTTTAATATAATATAGTTGAACAAACTCACTTAAAGAGTTATTTAGTATAATTTTGTCAGAAAAAGTTTTAGAATTTTTATCATATGTTAATGTAAAAAAATCTTGTGTAATATAACTTGTGTTTGTTTGTTTACTGGTTTTAATTGTATTTGTTATACTTGTATTTTTAAAATTGTTTTTGCCATGAAAGTAGCCCAAGATGCTGACATGGCATTAAATAAAAATATACTACTACTATTATACAGTTTATTTTTGGCCCTTCATAGTAAAAAAGTAGAGGTTGACCGGTATGGATTTTTGGATGGCCAATGATATAAATACAGTATTGATATGAGATAGTAAATAAAGATGTATAACAATTTCTGCAATAAAAATCTGTATTTATTTTACATAATATTTACTCAATCAATAAATTAGTTGAAAATGAATCTACTTAAAAAAATAATTTGAACTTGATAAATAAATCTTTACAATAAACGGATTTATGCTTTAGGTCAAAAAAGTCCAAATAAAAGTCCCACTTATCTGTGAAACAGAAGAAACCTTGACTAAAAAATGGCAAATAATGCAATGCCAAATATTGGTTGACCTCTGCACTAGACGGATGCATTTGACCATTGCACTTCCATCTGGTCTTTCGCAGCATCTAGTGCACAAGTGCAGCGTTTTTAGAACACTGTCAAGCTAAAAATAAGTTTAACTTAAAAACATGGTTTTTTTTTTTCTTAATTCCACTTTTCTGCATCTCAAGTTTCTAAACAAAAATGCATTTGATGTGAACGGCTCCTTAGAAGCCAACTGCCAAGTAGGCAAGCCAGCTCACTAGGTTTTGGAACAGAGCCTGTCACACAGGACTTAACCAATAAACATGAATGCTTACAAAAGAAAGGGGGTGTACAAATATTTCCTATTTTACAATTCAGCGTAAAATGTTTATTCATAGCAAGCTCTTTGTGTTTGGTAGCTTTGTCTTTGTTCTCTCTACAGACGCTGGCCAGATGTCTTATCATGTGGGACGAGATCATTCCCAATGCTGATTGGGTGACCAGTAATGTGCCTCAGGTACGTTAGAGATCTAACACACTGCAGGGACTCATCCAATATTGCGTCCTGTTTCCAACTAGTTTCTCGAAGCACATTTTTGCCTCAGGTCATGTTTTCGCTTCCTGTTCCCCTGTAAGTTCATAGGTTGGTCAAATATTTAGCAACGCTTGTGTTGCAAAACGCAGAGCTGTGTGGTCACTTCAGCCGTAGAGGTGGTGCGCAGGTCATTGAGCAAGAGAGGAGGGAGAGGAAGGTCATTGAGAAGTGCGTCTTTTAATTGTGAAGTCATTTCACCATGCTGCATTAGAAAATTACACAGAAATGGTTAAAACCCACAAGTTTCTGTTAATTTAGTTGCTTTTATTTTCTCATTTTTGCATGCAAAAAGAAAAGATCATTCACAATTCAGAATTCAAATATCGCTGACATTACCACTGATGATAATGTTTGGAATGTTTGAATACTGAAAATTCTATTAATGTAGGTCAATGAAAAATTTATTTCTTCTTTGGACATTTACGAAAACCATAAATAGATACAACTTTTAATAAAGAGGGATACAAAAACTCTTCCATTTTACTGACTTCTAGCCAAAGATTATAGATTTACCAAGACTCTTATTATTATGATTGGAAGTAACTGCTGTGTGCAGTATGGCTATTTAATTGTGAGTTTCTCAAGAGGTTTTTGAGTAGTTAGACTTAGTATGTATGCTCAAAATAGCTGTCCGAAAGCGTTGCAAATATGGCCTCCAAGTGAACAGACTTTCCTTGAAAGGGACTTTGTTTCTAGCATTGAGCTTACACTTAATTTGGCTCATTGCTAGTGAACAGAGATGATGTGACATGTCATGTAGACACAGTGTCAGACTCCCTTAATATGATTAACGCTAAAAATAAGCTTTGCGTTTTCAGATCATCCAAGAAAACATCGGAAACCAGGAGCAGACACCCATCTCTGAGGATCTCAACATGGAGACCTTAGTGTGAGTAGCAGCTGACTCTCTATGATGTTTTGATCGTGTGATTTCTAGGAGATCCTCATACCCACGGATTGTTTCTCGCCCTTATGGAGGTGTTTTCTATTATGACTTTCCAATGAGTTTTTGTTCCTTTGATGACTGGATGAGTGAAATAAGGCAGACATTTGTCACTGTTTCCACAGTCAAGCTCATGACTATATAATTGCTGGAGGCTGCCTGGCCGTGGGATTCCGGTTTGCTGGGTCTGCAAATTCAGATGCTTTTGACTGCTTAGTAAGTGGACGTTTACTTCCCACTTACAGATTTGAGATCTTTCTGAAAGTTCTCTGAATATTCTTAATATTGTCTTTCTCCATCAGTACAAATTTGCCAGAAACTTCATGCAGTGTCTGACGACCTCCACGGTTACAGTGGTAAGCATTTGTTTGCATTGAAGGCGAACATCGTAATGTTATGTAATCACAAATATTTATTCACACAACGTCCGGTCTCCTCCAGACAGGGCAGTATAACCTGCAGACGTGTTTAAGCATGGTCCTCCTGGCGGTTTCAATGGTGATGGCTGGTTCAGGGAACTTGAAAGTGTTGCAGCTGTGCCGATTCCTCCACAAACGCACCTTTGGCGAGATGAACTATGGCTTCCACATGGCCCATCACATGGCTCTGGGCCTGCTCTTCCTGGGTGGAGGGAGGTTAGTTGAGAAATGTATAAAAGAGTCCATGTTTACCTATACTACCCAGCACCTCAGTTCACTTCATAGACATTATTATGCATTTAATTAGTAGTGTTTGCTAAGCATCAGTATTACTATTGCCCATTCTTAGTGTATTAAACAACCCTATGTCCCTAAGTATAAAATGCTACAGTGATGATATATTTTTGTAGTCCATCTGGAAGTTAGCATCACCTTGCTTCCCTCGACAAAAAGCCAGTAGGCTTTTGGATTATTGCATAAAACAAGCTCTGTGGCCAGCAAAAGTTTAGGATTATCGCATGTTTTTACATGTAAACACAAAGAGGCTGTTAAAGCTATGAGTTACCAACGACTTCTGTAGTCCCATCTACGTTGCCACATGTTTGCCTTTTTTAAGAGACATAAAAGCTTAAAAAAATCATGAGTTGGATATTACTGATGTAGAATAAAATATCTTGAGTGCAAACACAGAACTTATTTCAGGCCAAAAACCCACTGACTTTGGGACAATTAAACCATAAGTTGAAAAATACTTGCTACATTTTTTAGGTTTTAGGACTCATTGTAACTCATCCCACACATACATCAATGATTCCTCAGGACAAAGGTTTTTGGTATGTGGCCAAGCAAAGCGTGAGAACATGCCAGCTACAGTTCATGCTATTTATAATCACAGATAAAGCATTATTGTGTTTTTGTCCCCTGACTTTAAAATTGCGATAATAGCCTTTATCATAATACTTCCTCTGTTATGAAATGCCTTCTTTATCTCCTTTGACCCCACATTTCATCCTCTGCTAAATAAAGCATTAAAGGAAGTTCATCCACAAAGGAATGCCGTCATCATTCGCTCATTCTCATATCGTTCACGCTTCTGCATATTCAGAGTTACTTTCGGTCACACAATGCATGAGATTCAGCCTTGATGTCAAATTTGCAATAATGATTCTTAATGCACCAAGTTTAAATTTAGAAGAAAGAAAATCATATTGGTCTGGAATAGTGATGCACGTATATGAAAAATTGAAAATTCAGGTTGTACTTGGGCAAAACTAAAAATGAATTTTATTTAATAGCCAATTAATTTGTCAAATAAAAACTAAGCTGTACAAACATTTAAATTGCACTTTTTTTTGCAACTTTTTAATAACAGAATTATGTTTCTACTCCACTTTGTTGTTGAAATTTAAATGGTGGCTATAATATATTTTTCAAACATAATTAAGACAACCGGTTAAGTAAAAAAAATATAATGAATATGTAATAATAGTGCATGTATTTGCCAAAATGCTCCTCTTCTGTTTTTTTTTAGCTAACTATGTCTTTCTTGAGATACATGACCTATTGTTTACAAGCTGTTTTACTGACGTCTTTCCACGGTTGCAACACTGATTGAACGATTACATGAGACATGATACATTTCAGTAAGTTGTTCTGTTTCTTTCAACAAACTTTCTGATGTTCATTCATGCTTATTTTGTGCTGTAACTAGTAGTAAACTGTAAGAGATGATCGCTTGAACTGAGGTGCTACAGCAATCTGTGATTTAGTTCATGCATTAACCGTAAACAGCATCGACTAAAATATTGATCTTGAGGTTTAAGAATCCATATCAGTTTTGTTATTGTTAAATCAGCACATTCAACATTATTTGCATGAAATCGACTGACACGGAGAAACACTAATGAAATATAGCTGTTTCGGTCAATGATTTTGGCCCTCCAAAACTATTTCAGCCAAAGCCAAAAATTACTGTTTCGGCTGAATTTTTGGTTGCTGAAATTTTGATGCATCACTAGTTTTGGAACATGAAAATGAATGTTGTTTTTAAACTCGTGCATAATTTACCTTATACAAAAACGGCAGACACCACCCTGCCTGTATTGCTGCTATAGATATGAGAAGAATTGCATATAAAAACTGTACATGCATGTGTAAAGCAGCGAGCTGCAGGTGTTGTGGTGGGCCGGTACACAAGCTCTTGAGCGTTTTAAAAGAGAAATAAGGTGACCTTTAACCAGGTCAATGAAAGGCACAGTGAGAGCCTCTCGTCCTGTCAGAACCTGTTCGAGTGCACTCTTCAACTCGCCCATTATTTTTAAGTGAGGCCTTTTGAAAGAGCACAAATAGTACCGGTGAACAATGGATGACCAATTTCCCCCTCGCTACACATTTGCGTGTCACATGCGCTCTGAAATATTGCCTCCGGGGACAGCTGAATATGCAACATGTGCGTCCTTTGTTTATTTTGCACTAATTTTCAAACATCAATTCACATGCATTGTTCATTTATGTTTTGCTCACTCAAATGGTAATATGAAAAAATTCCAAAAAAACAAATTTTTATGACATACGTTTGCTTTTCCCACAGGTACACGCTTAGCACCTCCAACTCGGCCATTGCTGCCCTCCTTTGTGCACTTTATCCTCATTTTCCTGCTCACAGCACAGACAACAGGTAGACAACAGCTGCTAACACACACACACACACACACACATCACAGTGAGCAAATATGGCTGTATTGTCTTCACTTCTGAGGAAAACCACTTTAATTTTTACTGTAAATGAGACTTGTTACCCAGAATCGTGAATGTGTGTATATTAAATGCTCGTATCTACATGGTGTCAAAGTGTCCTGTTATACACTGGGCCCAAAAAGTATTCACACACTTGAGTCACACTTAAAAACATGTGAATGACGTCGCATTAGATAAGAAGATATCAAACCAAGTGCCATTTCTTTTAAAGAAAGAGCACAAACACAGTTTTCAGATGAAACATTTCACAAAACTATTTTCAGTTTGAAATGACAAAACAATACATCTAGTCATTTTTGAAGTGTTTTAAGCGTAAATGTGCAATACTTTCTGTGGAGACTGTATTTAGTCTACTAAACGAACTACTACTAAAAAAGAATAGAGATGAGAGTAAACACTTGACAGTAATTGAAACACATATTCCAGAGTTTCTAACTGCAACTGATTGTCTGTCAGGCTGGTGTATGGGATTGAGTTTAAGGCTAATCATTTTTTGTTTCTACTAAACATATGTTCTTGTTCCTCTTTGCAGGTATCACCTCCAGGCGTTGCGCCACCTGGCTGTGCTCGCAGCAGAACCGCGTCTGCTGGTGCCAGTAGATGTGGACACCCTCAAACCCTGCTACGCTCTGCTAGATGTCACCTACAAGGTATGTGCTGCACGTGCCTCACGCCTTGATGTGGTCTTTCAAAACATACACTTACTCACATTCAATGAAACCCAGTGTTATTTTAGTATGTACTATTATGGTGTTTATTAAATTTTTTGAATTAGCTTTTATTTTTATATTTTCATTTCTCATGTTAACTTTAGTTTAAGTTGCGTGCTTTTGTCATTTTTTTTTATTCTTATTTTAAACATTTCTTTTTAGCTTTTTTTAATTTAATTTTAATAATTTTAATACTTCAACTTATTTTATTTCAATTAGTTGTCAAGGTAAGATTTCTATTTTTTTTATCTTATTTAGGTTTAAGTTTTTAATCTAATGTTTACATTTTATTTTATTTCAATTAACAAATATTGTGTTAATAGGTTTAGTTTTCATTTTAGTTAACAATATCAACACTGGTTACCAACATTAAATCAAAATAGACCATTTTTACTTTTTTAATTCACATGTTCTGGAGATTTTTTTTGAAATGCAAAAAATGCAAAAAATGCAACTTGCTGTGTCTCTAAAAAAATTATTTTTTTAGCATTATTTAAATACTAATATATATATTTGGAATTAGCTTTGATTTTTGTAATTTCAATTTTCATCTTAATTAATTTTTTTAGTAATTTTGTTATGTGCTTTTTGTCATTTTATTCATTTTTAACATGTTTTTTTTAGATATTCATTTATTTTTATTTTATGTTGCCTTGACACTTAACTGAATTGAAAAGTTTAACTTTTTCACCTAATATGTATTTTTCATTTTATTTCATGTTTAGTTCAATTAAAAAATGTTTTAGTTTTAGCTAACAACAATAACCCTGCTCTGAAATGACTTTCCCTCTCAGATGGGGTGTGTGATAGAAAATAATGTTAACCAATAGCCAGTCATTTGTTTTAGACTATAGTTGTAGGTAATTTAGCTTTTCTTTGTTGTGAAATGCACTGATATAATGATGGTTAAAAGTTAAAGGTTGTGTCAATATTAGCAAATAAGAATATATTTAAAAAAAACAACTTGAGTCACAATTGGGATAAGTAGTGATGCTCTTAAGGATGAACTTGACCTTTCGACCTCCATGTCCGGGTCAAAAGCTTCCTCAAAAGTGCACTGCAAAATGATTTCACATCAGACTGAAACTTTTCATGATCCCTTTTCAATTCTTGACTCAAATCACATTTCTTCCCTTATTTCACTTGCTAACATGAATGCCATTTGTTGTTGAAGACTGTAATTAGCACATAGCTCCACATCCCAACATCTATCCGTCCTGTTGTGTGTGAGGCCATTAGGCCACATCAAAGAGATTCTTAGGTGATAAACACGGCGAAGGACTGCTGAAGGTTGACCGTGACGTCTGACCATGTTTCCTCTGCTGCTTTGAGGACTCATCTTTTCAATTAAATGACGGCAGCCAAAGGAAGGGAACCAGCTGTTCACAGCAATTACAAAGACGTCTTTGTTCACGCAGGCATAGTGAACGTATACATTGTGATGCAAGGCGTTAGGTTTCTAATCTGTTTGTGCATGCATGTGGTATGTGTTTAATAGGATACGCAGTGGTACGAAGAGACGACCGTGGAGTTGATGGCTCCCACTATGCTGCCTGAACTTAACCTTCTGAAACGGGTAATAAATTAAACCACTTCCAAGTACAGCTCATACAAACTCCCTAAATCTGACATTATAGTTTTTTTTTCTTTGCATCCAGATTAAGGTGAAAGGTCCAAGATATTGGGAGCTGAACATTGACATCAGTAAAGGAACCCAACATCTGCAGTAAGTCTGCATGTATATTAAGCGAGGTGGAATCAAACTAAATGACTATCTAGTATTTTAAGGCCTCATAGCCATGCTCCAGATGTGAATGCTTTTTCAATAGGTGCCCAGCAGTGTTATGCCTTAATGTTATGTAACTTCTTTTTGCAATCTAAGAGAGCACCACACGTGTTCTTCAAGATAAGACAATCCCAGAAAGCACTGCGACAAGCTCAGTAAAAAAAATTTTGTTTATTTTGTTCAGTACTGAAGTATCAGTGTGCACAGAATTTTTGCATACTATATACACACATAACCGTTACCAATTCTGGGGTCAGTAAGACTTAAATTAAGAATGCATAGAAATGTTATTAGAATTTAAAACTTTTATTTAGCAAGGATATAGAATTACACAAGAGTAACACAAAACTTACCTTTATTTATTAAAAGGAGAATAATTGCCTTTGGGATTTTTATTTTTTTTAAATTTTTAAGTCAGTCTTGCTTGACTGTAAAATCTATTTTATTACAGTGCCCTGCTTTAAATTATACTAGGAAAGTTTTTTTTTTTTTTTTTTTTTTTTACTCAGAAAGGACATTAATAAATTAATTTTTTAGAAAAACGTCTGGGTAACTGTTAGAATTGATCAAATATCAGTTTGAAAGATTGTATGTACTTTATTGTTATTTATTTATTTATTTTACAATTTCTTTTATTTTGTTTGTAAATAATTATTGTTTAATTATTATATACAATTCCTTGAAGCGTTGTTATCAAGACTATTTTAAATTTTATTACTCTTTGAGTTTTCCATTAATATAGCCTTTGATGCTGATATGGTACAATGATAAATAAATGATAAATAAACATGTAGTGATAAATAATAATTCAGCAAGGAGGCATTAAATTGACCAAAAGTGACAATAAAGACATTTATAATGTTATAAACCTTTTCTATTTTAAATAAATGCTTTTCTTTTAAGCTATTTATTCATCAAAGAATCCTGAAAAAAATGCTAAAACTGTTAAGCTTGTTTAATATTAAAAATAATAAGCAGCACAGCACCATTTTGAGAAAACAGAAATGTTTCTTGAGCAGCAAATCAGCATATTAGAATGATTTCTGAAGGCTCATGTGACACTGAAGACTGGAGTAATGATGCTGAAAATGCAGATTTTCTTCCCAGAAATAAATTTTATTTTAAAACTTATTCAAATAGAAAACATTTATTTTAAATTGTAAAAATATTTTATAATTTGTTTCGTTTTTACTGTATTTCTGATCAAATATATGCAGCCTCAGTGAGCGATAGAGTTTTGTTTTGTTTGAAAATATGAAACAAATGTACCAAACCCAAACTTTTGAACAATAGTGTAGTTTTATGCTTAATGCTGACCTATTAAAATAATCAATGTGAGTGCTGTTTATGAAGCACACAGAGTTGCTGCCCATAGAGTGTTCCAAATCACTCACTTAATAGGTTCCATGTTTTGTTTGTATGCTTCTTTAGAAGGCAGCTCACTAGGTTTTGGAACGGAGCTCAAGTTAATTGTGATCAAGAATTTTAAGTACATTCTGCTTTCTAGATCCATCCTATCCAAAGACGGCGTTCTGTATGTGAAGTTGCGCGCCGGACAGCTGCCCTACAAGGATGACCCTCAAGGCTGGAAGAGCTTACTGGCCCCCAACCTCAACAACAGAAGTGCTGAAGTGCGCACTTTTAAGGTCGGTCTGTGTGCACAATAAATATTACCAACAGTTTAGAACGAGCCATTTTAGGTAGGCGTGGTTGACTCTTAACTTTTATAAAGAATATCTCTTTGGATTTGAGACTTTAGTCTTTGCAACTTTACAGATCTTCTTTATGCACCAAAAGCTTGTAAGACTCCAAAGAGAAAGAAAAATTTAAATCGCATCATATGACCCCTTTAATAGTAGTAGTATCATTATTACATAGTCTATTATTTTGTTACAGTACAATAATATAGTGCAATAGTGCAATAGTGTTATAACTGTAATATATTTCTTTATTAGTTTAAGTTTTGCAATTTAATTAAAAAGCATGTATAAAATGATCATTATAATATAATTATTACAGTACTGTAGTAGTATCATTATTAAATACTCCATTTTTTTTTTGTTTTACAGTAAAATGGTAGTATTGCTGTAGTAATATTTCTTTGATTTAATTTTAAATTTACACTTTCTCATTTTTAGGAAAAGAAAAACATTGTAAGAATAATCTTTATTTTTATTATTATTAATATATAGCCATATTGAATAGTATACACATGCTGAATTCCACTATAAATACTCATTTTAAAACTGATTTTTTAAAAACGTATTTTCTTTCTCCTAGGAGGGTCACATCTTTGTTTATTACCCCTGATAATAGTTTGCATCCCTGAGTAATGTGACGGGATACGTTGAAATATGAAAATAAAATGAATTAATATGAGACCAGTAAAGTCATTTGTCATGTCACAACCATGTAAAATTGGTAAACTAGTAATGATACGTGCAGTGATAGAGAGAATAAACAAATGATTTTGATAACTTGCGTCTTTAATAAAACACTTTTTGTACAGAAGGATTAACTTGTAATAAATCGAAAGCATGTCAGAAATGCTTAAACCCGTGAACATTTCTTTAAGACCTTTAGTATGTTGCCAAATACAACATGCGGTAATGCAAATCGCCTCCTTTTGCGTATAAACAAACGGGAAATGTGTTTATAGTAAATACTCTTATAATGGAAGCTCAGCAGGAGAGCGGGCGTACCACAAATAAAAACTCTCAGTTTCAAAAGTGTAACCTTAACACATCAAAGCATGTTTATTGTCATTTCTTTCCTACATGATAGAAGAGCAAATGAAATAAAGTGACGCCTCGAGCCTCGGTGCAAAACGTTTAACCAGAAAATGTGTTTTGGCCGACATCTGTCAATATTTACTGTGTCATATGTCTGTTTGTATATAATTCAAGCATTAATCCACTCATGCAAATACAGAGGATAAAGGTGTAAAGATATTTCCGGATGTTTGCTGAGGTCTTGTGTTCCTAATTGGATTAAAGCAGCATAATGTGGTCTTTTGAAACTGCTGCAAAGAATGTTTTTCATGTCAATGAGCTATTTTTCCCTTCCATCCCACTTGTTCGTCTCCTACGCAGCCCGAGGCCATCTCAACCTTCACCTCTGACGTGGCTCTGGTCTCCTTCGCCGAGTACTTCTGCAGGGCCTCGGAAAACATGAAGCATGTGAGACCAAAAACATGTTGTTTTAAGGCAAAGCGCTTGGTTTGGGTAATAGGAAAAAAGCATTCATGTCCCTACTGAGGCAAAGTTTTGTCCATGTGCATTCGTAAGGAAAGTGACGTGGATACTAAATAGTTGTCAGAGACAAAATTTTGCTCTACTGAGATTACTTGATCTTTTAAAAACTGTTTGGGTGAGGTGAAAGCCCTCAGTCTACACACTGTAGGGTGCAATTGTTTAGTGATTAATGTTTTCTTCTTAAACATCTAAGACAGAGGAAAAAAGAAAAGCCTTTGGTTTTTATGTTTATGGATCGTTAGAGGATTATGCTGGGTCATTTTCATCTTAAAGGAATGATCTGGGGTCTAAGTTATTTTTTATTTCCAAAATTTGTTTTGTGTTCTTGAAAAAAAGTATTTAGGCCTCCCTCAGTTTGCAAAAGTAAAAAGTAAGCAGGTGTACAGTAATAAGGGATGCAAACATGTCGCTTTTTGGGGAAAATGTCTTTTTTGTATCCAAAGTAAGTCCTAGTTTCAGTGCGGCATTGCATTCTTTTGTAATGAGAATCGTTTATAGATCTGTTGTAAACAGGTTTTTAGGGCTCCCTCTGGTCCTCCATCAAAATAAAAGCTTGATGGTGTTATTTTTGAAAGCAAAGAAATTAAGACATCCATGAATATTAGTTAGCTCTGTAAAGTTATAGTAAAATTATGAAATAATAATTATTCAAAGAGCTAGTAGTAGTAGTTATAGTGTCTTAATTAGTTATAATTATTAAATACTCTTATATTTTACAGTACAATAGTATTATAACAGTAGTAATACTTCTTTATTGGTTTAAGTTTTGCAATTTAATAAAAGAAAAACATAAAATAGTATAAAATAATGTTAATTATAATAATATAATTATTATTAGTGGTAGTGTCATTATTAAATACTCGATTATTTAATTTTACAGTACAGTAGTATTATTACTGTAGTAATATTTCTTTATTGGTTTCATTTTTTTTTTTTTACAATTTAAAAAAATAATATATAATATAATTATTATTATTAAAGGGGATGTTGCTAAAAAGAACATTATTTTGTGTATTTGGTGTAATGAAATTACACCAAATAATGTTAATGCGGTTTACAGCAGGAGAGCGGGCGTACCACAGATAAAAACTTTCAGTTTCAAAAGTGTAACCTTAACACATCAAAGCATGTTTATTGTCATTTCTTTCCTACATGATAGAAGAGCAAATGAAATAAAGTGACGCCTCGAGCCTCGGTGCAAAACGTTTAACCAGAAAATGTGTCATGGTAGCTATAAATACAAAACGAATACAGTAAACATAGGAGTCAGTATGACCCACTTTCCTGCTACGCTTCCCATTACCATAAACATTTATTTCATGAGTGATGATCAACATTATTTTTTGTAGTGTGTCTTGATGGCACAGATGCGGTTCTTAGAAATTAAGTTATAACTCGTAAATAAATAACTAATAACTCGTAAGTATATAGTAAATAACTCAAAAGTTGGTGTTGCTGTAGTTTTCACACGTTTTTCTGTCTTGTTTCTACAGAAGCAGGAGACCGTGGCATTACTGTCAGCAATTCTGTATGAATGTGTGACACAGGAATACCCAGAAATGCTGCCAACACACATCTCTATTGACCAGGTCAGTTACAGTAAATCACGAATGCATGCAAAGATTGGGTAAATTAGTGAGTAAAATTATTGCATTTTTACTTAGGTGGAATTTTTCGGTATCTACAATTTTCATTGTGTAACAGCTTTTTATATTTTATATCATAAAATGTAGCTTAAATTTTACTGTAAATTTTAAAATGTAACTTATTCCTGTGATGCAAAGCTGAATTTTCAGCATCATTACTCCAGTCTTCAGTGTCACATGATTCTTCAGAAATCATTCTAATATGCTGATAATTAGGGATGAACCGATACCGATACTGGTATTGGTATCGGGCCCGATACTGAGCTCCTGTACTCATACTTCTTAAAATTCCCCGATACCAAAAATCGGCAAGTACCAAAAATAAAAGTATCGGTATCGGGCGAGTACTGGAAAAAGTGGTATCGGTGCATCCCTACTGATAATGTGCTGCTCAAGAAACATTTCTGATTATTGTCAGTGTTGAAAACAGTTGTGCTGCTCAACATTTTTGTGGAAACCATAATACATATTTTATTTAGCAATATAAATGTATTTTAATTTGTTTTTATTTAATTTAAATACAAAATAGTTATTTAAATGTATTATTTATTATAAAAATATTTTTATTTATTTTTTTATTTTATTTTATAATTGCCCAGATATTTCTTTGTGAGATTCATCAGATTCCAGCCCAAAATCAAAACTTAATAATAAAATAAAAAAGTTAATAATAATAATAATATTTATTTTTATAATTTTAATAATATATATGGCGTCATAACAACAAAATCAGGCCAGGATTTTTTGATGAACAGAAAGTTCAAATAAACAGCTTTTCTTTAAATAGAAATCTTTGTATCATATGTATTTACTGTCACTTTTGATCAATTTAATGAAACGTTAGTTAGTGTTTAATGTTGCTGTTTGAGCATAAACAATAGCTGCAAAGTTACAATGCAAATGGAGATATCGTCTTTTAAAATTTGGCAGTTTAATGCCTGCAAAAATGGCTTGTAGGGACTACAACGAGCTACTTCCCAAAATTTACATAACATTTACATAAACAACAACAAACAAAAATGGGCCAGCTAACCAATCAGAGCCCATCGCCTATTTCTGAGGCAGGGGCTTCATAAAAGCAGGAACTCATCGGAGTGTTCAAATGAGAAGGGACAGAGTGGTGTAGAATAAAGGTAAGATATGTGAAAAATATTGCGTTTTTTTTTTTTTTAAACGAAGCATTAACACAATGTAAGTTTAATCTTTTGTTTTGTACTTATTTTAGTTGTTGATCTCTAAATGACTAGCGGACAATTCTTTTCTGACTCTATTTGGATGGTCTCTTTACAGAAGCCTGGGAAATGGTGCGCTATGCATGTCCGTGTTGCTTGGATGATTCTAAGGCATCAAGAAAAAGTCAAGGTTTTTGTGTTTATCTGTGTTTATTTTTAGTTCTAATGCAAAAAGGCCAAAAATTGCAAAAATTTTAAAAATATTTCGTTTTTTTTTTTTTTTAAACGAAGCATTAACACATGTTAGACTGCACCCCATAAACACAAAGCCTAGGGGAAAAAGTCAACCACCCCTTTAAAGAAAAACTTACTAAGCCCAAACTTTTGAACAGTCCTGCATATATTTCTTTCGAGTCCATCATCTTGGATGAATCTTTTCACTGACCTTTTCACAATAATTCTGATGTTGCTGTGATGATTGCATGTATGTGCTATGGTGAAAGAAGTGCATTATATTATAAGTTAAATGCCCCATAAGGCCCTTATTTCTACTTCTGCGGCATAGTTTTATTTTATTTTTTATTACGTTTGTGTGTGTTTATATGTGTGTGTGTTTTATTAAATTTTTTTACATAGTTTTTGCACATGTCTTGGCATTCACTGTGGACAGCAAAGAAAGAATTTTATTGTACAGGGAAACCTGTTTTCCTTACTGTGCACATGACAATAAACGCTTTGAATCTTGAATCTTAACACACTTGTACGCTTCTCCGTAGGCCGTGCGGACTCTGGATCGAGGCGATCTCTGTGAGACATTCAGTCTGTGGCAGATGAAGCTGGTGCTGGAGTTGTGTGAGAGCCGAGTCCTGCAGCAGCGGCTCAGAGACACACGGCGTCAGGGCCGCGGCCTGCTGCTCAGTTCAGAGTTCCTGCCCGTCATGAAGAGCTCAGCCGACCGAGCCCTGGATTGCTGGCTCTGTGGTGAGATACATGACACAGCCATCAGCGTCTAGCATCATTAGCTCATGTGCTTAGTCAGATTTCTATTTTAGAGCTTCTGTGTCAGCTCATCCAGTCAGCGTTTGGGTCTTGCATGTGTATAGTGTTTTGGTCAACACCTTCAGCAAGTGTGAAAGGCTGTAGTCATGTCTGCTCTCTGCAGGGCTGGTATCTTAAAGGCTAACGGGGGGAAATCTTCCTAATTGTAGAACCATTCAGGTTTTATTTACATTGTTAACTTCAGCTCTCATTACTGTAATGCAAAACAGATTCTAAATCATGCAATTAAGGTTGCAAAAAGGTGGAAAATTTCCAGTAAATTTTGGAAATATTCCAGAAATTTTGGAAACTTTCCAGGATTTTTTTTGGAATATTCCAGGGATTTTTGGAAAGTTTCCGGAAATTTACCGGAAATGTTCCACCCCTTTGCAACCCTACATGTAATATAATTATTATAATGATAATTGTAGTATTTATTGTACTGGCTTTATTCTAACTTTAATTGAACGATATTACTGCATTCCAATAATGAAAACTAAAAGTTTAATGAGAAGTGAAGGGTGACATTTGCTTAATTGTCATAATGACAAAATGCACAAATCTTAATGGTAATAAAACCCATGCTTCATTTTCTTTGTACAAAATATAATTTTATAATAATAATAACAATAATAATAATAGATGTATTTATTCTTATAATTGTAAAATAATTATTTATCAATATAAATGTATTCATTAATTTTTATTTAAATAAAAAGTAATTATGTATTATTATATATTCTATTCTATTCTATTCTATTCTATTCTGAAGTATAGCCCAGACATTTCTGTGAGATTCATGAAACCTGTATAATGCATGTCTGGATCAGATTATAGCCCAAAATCAAAAGTTATTTATAACATTTAAAAAAAGTTAATAATAATAATCATGATAATAATAATAATGATAAATGTATTTATTTTTATAATTCTAAAATAATTATTTCTTAATATAATTGTATTCATTTATATGTATTATTTAAACAAAATAATTATTTAGATATATTGTTTTTTTATATAAAAATATTATTATAAAATTAATTTTTATTATTTTTTACATTTAATTTTTATTATTTTTTAAACAAATGCCTCTGACATTTTTTTTGAGATTCATTCGAAAGTGAAGACACACTAGACATTCACTTCTATTCATATGTGTACAGATGCATACATAATTTTTTCATCAAGTTTGAATCCTTAACTATTAAGCAAACAACACTGTAATTCTTAACTCACAGATAACAGTCACGTGCTGCAAGCGTACATGAGAAGACAGCCGATGAACAACGACACTGATGTCAACATGTTAGCCTGCTTCCTGGTCTACCATTCTACCCCCAGCCTCAAGAACATGGTGGCATCTGACCTGGAAGGTACGATTAAACTCGGATAGAAGCTAATTGCTGTTTTTTTGAGAGAACCAAGTCATTCTTGTTAAATGTAGAGATCTTATTTTAAAGTAAAATAAGTATGCTCATGCCATTCTAAACCGGCGTGACTGACTTAGTTCAAAACACAAAATGAAGCTCTAAAGTCACCACAAAACAATACTCCACTTCCAATTTCAGTCTGTTCCTCACACAAAGCTACCATATGGCTTCAGAAGTCTTGAAATATACTGCAAGAGTCGTATGAACTACACTTAAGGCCCTGATATACTTCAAGCGAACTGCTGTGACACAATAAAAAAAAAATCAGGCCAAAACAAAGCTCGTCTGGAGTTTGAAACAGCTTGCCAAAGCAAACTTTCCAGAAAATTTCACTACAGCTAGTAAACCCCTTCGAACTACCATTAGTCTGTGGCAATTACATGATAGGTGTTCCTTCTTTGGCATGGAAATCAGTTACAACGATGAACACACTGGAGAGCTACTTTATAGTAGAAATTGAAGTTGTTCTAATTGAAGAGCAATATTGGCACTGTAAAATCTGCTTACTTTTAAGGGTTCATTTGTTGATTTTCAACCAGCTTTGTATTGTTACAGTGTCAGTAGTTCAAGTAAATGAACAATGTGTATTACTTTTACGTGTCACCTGCAACAAAATATCCCCACTTATTTATCAGTAAAACATGACAGAAGATGCCTTTTTCCAGGTTTTTGTCAAAACTAAAGACCATACTTCAGCAGTTTTGTATTCCCCCTCGCAGATAGTTTGACCGAGCCCAGTGTATTATAAGTGTTGAAGTTTTCCTACCTTTTTTGCCCACAGTCTTTTTCTGTTCGTGTAGCACAGATAAAAAAAAATTGCACTTCTACTACATAGACAGCCAACTTTTATTAAAACGCAATCTTGCCAGAGGTGAATTACCCTTTTAAAGCGATCTGTAGTGTAAAGTGCTATATAAATACCACTTGACTTGACTGGAGTGCCAAATTTGCTAAGCTGGTGCAGTCATATCCACAATGCAATGATCAGATGCTTGTTTAACTGCTGCTTTCTCACTGCTGTCATTTTTGTTGCATGTTTATTTTGTTACATTTGTTGTTTATATTTTTATCTTTATGCACATTTTTAGGAATCTGCATCTCCATAACTGAGGCCAATGTGATACGCATCTTGATGCATAGCCAAGGATTAGGGCTGGGTATCGAGTTCGATACTTTTAGGCACCGACTGAATTACCTCGATACCATCGAGTATCGAAAAACATCTCGTCGTTCGGTACCAAATTTCGATACCGAAGGGGTTAATCTCATCAGCGTCAGTGAGCCAATAAGCCTGGTACTGTAATACACCGATCGGTCTGCACTGCACAGTCGGTCTGCGTCAAGTCGAACACATCTACTAGTTTACACCGGTTACACTCAGAGATGTGGCGCACACGTGAGGTTGTAGTGTGAATGCGTCCCAGCCCCCTTAGATGTAAGGCTACATTTACAATGGTGTGGCGCGTGTTATGTGACCATTCATGCAAACTGTAGCATCATGCTACATAAGACAATAAATTAGATTTATATTCCGCTTTTACTCAAAACTCACTTTATGTATCTGTATCGATATCGAAAATTTTTGAACGATACCCAGCCCTACCAAGGATATGATACATTAAAGATACATATGAAACGGCTACCGATGCGATACGATTCACCCCTGATACAACACAATGCGATTCAATGGGAAAAAAATATGATGCTATGCAATTCAGTATGATACAGATAGTTTGCTTTTATTTCTTTGGTTCAGACAGACAGCCATGATGATCTATTATCTGTGTGACTCTCAGGACACGCCTCGGTCTCCATAGCGTCGTGATGCGTCATATTCACCTAGCAGCAGTGGTGATGAGAGAACGCGCTTGAGAAACAGTCTAGGGAGGAGAAATCAGTCTACATATAAAATATTGGTCACACATTATTGGTCACTTTCTAAATAATAAAAGTATAGCACATCCACTAATAATTATATATAAATAAATTGGTTTTTACTGATTCAAATATGTTAGAAACGATGCATCGTGATACAAATTCCAACTTGTATCCAATGCACACTTTTAAAAAAAATCAATACATCAATCGCATCGTTAACTTTTATGCCGATGCACCGATGCGACTCTCCAATCTTACCATCCCTAATTCTTCTAAATGCTGCTCCCAGCAATCCAGCCAGTGTCCCTAAAAGTTATCTAAAAGCTCAAATGTTTCCTAAAAGTACACTCAGGTATTTCAAACTTCTTTTTAGCCCCTATGTGAAGGATAAAAAAACCTTTGTGCTTTTTTTGGAGTACAGCCCCTCCACAGAAGAAATAAAGTCATATTTTCGGCACAACATGAGCAAGAATAAATAATGAGAGAAATGTAACTTTTAGGTCAGTTATTCCTTGAAGCACTGGATATCTGATCAATAAGTTCTGAAATGTTGCACTGATCTATAGTCAGCCTTTCTTGTACTTTATCTCCTAACATAATCGTTCGGATCTCTCTGTACAGGATGTTCCTGTTTTCCAAAGCTGCTGCTCAAGAGCAGTCAGTTGGGTGTTCCTGTACGTGCTCTGCTGCGTTTGAGTCCTCTGCTCCTTCAGAAACAAGATTCTGGAGTTTAACCCACCAATTCCTGGAGGTCAACCAACCTTCTGCTTATCCAGGTACCGCAGGGTCATGGTTGCCTTGTCCTCACAGGCCACAGGAACCCGCTGCAAGATTTATTATGTGGACATTTTTATCACATGATTGTGTCTTTGAAGTGCTGGAGAAACAGGCTTGCTCACCCCTATTTTGACATGTAAATAGTTTGTAACTATATTTGTACCTATAATTCAGTCAATAAATATGACTTGAGGAAATGGTTTTCATAAAGTATGCCTGGCTTGTATTAAATACTTGTAAAAATACTTGTTCTGGTATGGTTTTGTCAGTTTTGCAGGGGATTTTTTTTTTTTTTGGCCAAGGCAAGCATTACTATTAAGGGGCTTTCACACATGCAACAATTACTCAGTTGGCGGATCCAACACTGGCAATCTTCATATCATGTCACTGCTCATTTGCATAGGATTTAGCTGTCAGCTGCTTGGAAATCAATAATTCTCATAATAAAAAAGAATGACTTACAGTCACTTCTTTGGTGCAAATCAATGTATATGCGAACGCCCCTTTACTGTTGCTCATACTTAAGATTAGGGGTTTAAGTCACTAAACATAAGTATTAAACTTTGTCACAATAACTGCACCAGGACATGAATGATTGCTCAAATTTCAAATCATGCATCTTGTTGAGGAGAGGTTTGCTGTTGCTGTTAACTAAAACTATTATTATTTTTTTTATTAGTAATTGAAATAAAGCTGAAATAAGATAAAATGTAAATATTAGATGAAAAGCAAAACGTAAAAATGAGAAATGTTGCTTTGGCAGCTAACTGAAATAAAATGTAATTTAAGTTGAATTACTAAAATTACGAAAACTGGTATTAATTAAAAGTATATAGAAAACCAGAATATAAAAACAAAAACCAATAAAAATGATGAAAGCACAAATCAAATAATTATTAAAACTTTAAAATGAAAATGAAAATAAAATATAAACATAAAAGCTAAATTCAAAATATGAATACATGTGTGTATAAATAATAAAACAT